GTTGAAGAGGTGAGAAGCCATGTTAAGGGCTTCAACCCAGAAGGTGGGTGGGAGTTGGGCTTGGAATAAGAGAAACCGAACTGTATTATTTATAGTGCGAATGGTGCGTTCAGCCCGTCCATTTTGTTGACTGGTGTGGGGGCAGGAGAATCGAAAAATAACACCCAAAGATTCAAAAATGTTTCGAAGGGGCCTGTTTCTATATTCAGTACCATTATCACATTGCACAGCTTTAATTGTAGTGTTAAACTGATTTTTCACAAAAGCTATAAAAGTGTGAAGATGAGAACATGCTTCAGATTTACTTCGAAGAGGAAATACCCATAAAAAATGAGAATAATCATCTAAGAGTAACATATAATGTTTAAAACCAGTAACACTAGTAACAGGCGATTGCCACAAATCAGTATGTAAAAGCTGGAAAGGAAAAGTAGAAATACGACTCGAGGACTCAAACGGGAGACGAGTATGTTTTCCCAACTGACAAGCATGACAAAGAGAGTGCTGCAAGTTTCTAAAAGAGATAGTAGACGAAAGACTAGGGACTCCACGGAGGACGGCAAGGCTCGGGTGACCAAGACGACGATGCCAGAGCTCCGGTGGCAACGTGGGCCTGGGCTGGGACAGGATCGGCTGTTGGGCTCATAGGGTAGAGTGGGCCATCATTACTGGACCGATGAATCACGGTTCCCGTCAGCATATCCTTCACAGAAAAACCAGTGGAGTCAAATTCAATAGAACAATTATTGTCACGGGTGAATTGTCTAACGGAGATAAGGTTGTGAATTATGTGGGGAGAAACAAGGATATTTTGTAGGTGGAGGGGAGGGGATGTGGGAAAATGATAATTACCAGTTGCCGTAGTGCGAACTTTAGAACCATTACCGACAGTAATATATGATGATGAATTTAAAGATTGAGTACGAACATGAGAAAGAGTACCTGGGTCCGAAGCTATGTGATGTGTGGCGCCGGTGTCCATATACCATTGCGGATCGCGAAGGCTTAGGGTGTCAAAATGATGGGCAAGGGCTGTTGGTGTGAGGGTGTTGGCACCGACAGAGGGGGTTGCTGGTGTGGGTGAAGGTGGCGGGTAGGGTGGGGCTGTTGGGTAGGGGTTTGAGTACGGGTAGGGGGCACCGGCGTGTGGGTAGGGTGTAGAAAAATAGGCCTGGGGATATGGGTGAGGGTGAGGGCGAGGCCCGAGAAGGCCGGGGTTAGGGTTTGGGTTGGCGTACTGTCCAGGAAACTTCCCGAAGGTGTGCCGTGCATTCGACCCGGAGCTTCGGCCGCGACCACGACCCCGCTGCTGTCCACCACGCTGTCCCTGCCGCTGATAATTTCCAGAACTGCCCCTGCCGCTGGAGTCTGCCCGTCCGCCACCGGCGCTGCCATGGCGCCGTGAATCACCGCCGCTGGAGCCTCCACTGCCGGCGTACAGTGCCGTGCCACTGTCTCCACCGAGACCGCCACCACCCAAGTCAGCCCGTTGTTGTTCAATAAGAAGGAGGGCCGACCGAGTTTGAAGAAAGGTGGGGGGCGTCGTTTGATATTGAAGGAAGGACGTTTGGCCACGAAGATCATCCGGTAGACCACGGAGAACTTGGAGAACGAGTTGTTGTTCGGAGACGGTAGCGTCCACATCATCCAACCAATCCGCTAGGTTGCGAAGGGTTTGGCAATAGGCGGCCATGGAGAGAGACCCTTTCGTGGTTGTGCGGAATTGGTGCTCAAGTTGCATAGCCCGCGCCGCTTTGTTATCATGAAATAGATTGTAGATTGATTTCCATAATTCCGAGGCTGAGTTGGTGGTAGAGAGCACGAGATCACAAACTTCATCATTCACCGTAGATAAGATCCAACCTTGAATGAGAGCGTCGAGTTGGTGCCATTCGTTGTCGTCGGCGCTGGACGGTGATGACTTGCCGGTGAGAAAATCACCCAAGGAGAACCGGCGGATGAGAAGGAGAAAAAGCCGACTCCACTACTTGTAATTCGGCTCGGAGAAACTGAGAAGAATTGGCACATGAAGCTTGACGTTGGAGATGGTTGTGAACGCCAAGTGAGGAGTCGAAGATGATGATGCCGTGTTGGTGACCGGAGCTTTCTCAGACATGGTGGTGAGTCTGCCCTGAAGTTCGGTCGATAGAGAGAGAGAGACTGCCGGACTGTGAGAGCGGCGCTCCTGAAGTTCGGCCGAGAGAGAGAGAGAAGGCGGCGCTGGGGAGATGCGGCGCTGCTAGGGTTTGGTCGAACAAGAGAGAGAGCGAAACAAAAGCTCTGATACCATGAAGAATTATTATTTTCTATATTATTAACGGAGGGCTAAGCCTCGTATATATAATACAGGAAGATCCTAACAACGGAAGGATTCCTATACAAGTAAACTACCATGTATACAATGATTACAATTAATATTAAATATATACATGCTATATTTAACACTTCGTCTCCGTCCCACCCTCCCCCTTCGGATAATTCCTTGATTATCTCGTGCGGCAACAGAGCGCCGGCCGAGATCTTCGCCTCCCCCCTCTTCACTGAACCGAGGAAGCCGAGGAATCGCTCGCCGTCGTGTTTGAGGAACTTGTCCTTGTATAATTTCATGGCGACCGAGGAGATTTTCCCGTAGGGGATGGAATCCCAGCGGCCCGCTCCGATGTACACTTCCGGCAGGTTCATAACCTGCCGGAGAGGGACCAGAACTTCCTTCCGGAGGCGATCGCGGACCCTGTAGATGTAATGAGCGTCTTCGATTCCTTGGTATTCTGGATGGGACATTCTGTCGAACACCTTCCGCGCAATGGCTTCGCACAACAGAGTCGATCGATCGTAGGAGGAATCCACGGACGGGCACCATTTCGCAGCTAGGGTTATCTTCCCCATCTTTCCGGATTTCAAGTTGTTCAGATCCGATCTGAGAGCTTCCGCGAAGAAATCGGAGATCAGGTCGTGCAGGTACCGGAAATCGGGATCGCCGGCGTATCTGTCGAGCGCCTTCTTCGCCATCGCCAGTCTCCTTTCTTCTTTCGGCAGAGAAGGAATCTCGTAGACGACTCTCTGGTTTTTAGTCACAATCCCCTCTTTCTTCAAGCCTTTCAACTGAGAACGGGTATAGTGCAGCAGATTTTGTTTCGCAGACCAGTCCGCCTTCTGTTTGGATCTCACTTCGCCGCCTTCGAGAAGGCGGAGGAGAATCTCAGGCAAGTCTTTGAGGTAGCCGAACTCCGCCAATTGGGTGATGTTGGCGGCTAGGGTTTTGGGGTGGTGGCGGTGGAGCCAGATCG